ATTTTTTTATATATATTATAATAAAAAAATATTTTTAACCTGTTCATTCAAAATATATGTTAAAATAATCCTTATATTATATACACTACTACTTTTTGTAGTGCAAAAACTAGAGACCGTAGCTCTCTCCGTGTTCTTGAGAATTGGCTCTGGAATCCCGAGATGGAGGTGGAAACAGACCTTCGGGACAGAAATACTAGGAATAATGTTATGTGCCTGTTGACAGACCCAGAGGGGACTCCATTGAGCAGCACCATGTACATTCCGCAAGACGTTGGGCGTCTACATCTCCATGCCTCGACATATCGTCAACACGCTTCTCAATAGTGTGATTTTGATCATTGTTTTTCCGATTCTTCTCCTTTTTTCTTTTTCATTGAAATTTTCAGTTTTTCCCAATATTAAGTACTGCGTGATTTTGAACTTCGATCTTCGGGTTCAGTGGCATCAGCCCATATATAAGTGCATTTTTTCATCCTTAAGATAACGATTTGAATCCAATTTTTTATGAATTGGTTCAAAAAAAAAAAAAAGTACTGCATGATTTTCAAAATCTAACGCTACAAATATAGTAAATTAGTTGCTAATTTTATATAGAATTTATTTAATAAGTCATATTTAAAATATTTATTTAAAATATTTATCTAAAACACAAGTTAAAAAAATATTAATTATATTATTTTATAATTAATTTATATAAAAAAATTAACTTTAAATTTATCAACTACCTAATTAAAATTATTTAAATGATATTAATGTTAAAAATATTATCTTACTTTTGTATTTTTAAAAATTTATTATAAAATAAGATATTAAGATGCAAATTAGATAAATTTATATTTAAATTCCTCTAATCCCTTTCTCATTTCTTCTCCCCTCCCATAGTTGTAATAAATTGCGTATGTTCAAAAAACAAAATGTACTGGGTGATTCCCCAGTTTGATTTCAGCAACTTAAAACTGGGACTTGCATGTTGTTGCTGTTGAGTGCGTCCATGCTGTGTTTGATAAATTTATTGGAATGGTATGGCAATAGTGAAAATGTCTTTTATATATAACAATATGTTTAGGTTAAAAAAAATAAAGGAAAGAAAGATGAGAGTTTTTTTTATTAATTAAATTATAAATTTTTTAAATATTATAATTTGATTGTTCATAAATCTTCCTCTCTCCTTCTTTCATTCAATTCCTCAAATCAAATATAATGTTAATCAACTTAATTGTTAAGAGTTTAAGTATTTGCTATTGAGATTTTAAATTTAAATTTTAAGATGATTATAAAGAGGGATTCATAAGTGCTCCAATAAAAAATGACAATAAGAAAACTAATTCATTGTTTAATGGCCACATTTTGCACTTTGGGTTTTCTTAGAAGGAGAGGTTACCATATGCTTTCTATATACAAGACAAGGAACTGGTTGTGCCACTTGGAACTTACTTGGAGAAAAACAAAGGTCTGATAGAGCCTAAATCTGAAATTCCCACTTTCACTATATTGTTCTTTGATAATTTTAATGAGCACAACGCCTCTTTTTTTGGATGGTTAAGTTTGTGATCAATGGACTTTCAGTCTGTGGAGAGGATAATCTCAATAATTTATCAACCACAGACCGTGTTCCGCATTCGTCTTGTTAACCGTTGTTCCTCAACAATAGCTGGTATGAGAATTTGCTTGTTCATGTTGATTCATCATATTATGTTAAGGTACTTAGTAGCACGCATGAGCAGAGCAATCAGATTTATTTCTGTACTTACTAGCATGGATGGCTCATGCTTCTATTACTCAATTTTTGCTCCTCAATATCTGTTATTGCTTGTGCCTACAGGTCACCCAGAAGCTGTTCTTTCTGTTGCTTTCAATCCTGATGGGCAGCATTTGGCAATTGGTTCTGGTGATACCATTGTCCGACTGTGGGACCTAAATACTAAGACACCAATGCTCACAAGTACAGGCAAGGCTACAAACAAACCATACGAAACAGAAACGCACAAGGTAAATAAGACAAAGGACATGCTATGGCATAGTTTTTTGTGAATCATTCATTCTGTGAGTTCTTTCTTGTCTATTAATCTTCCTATTTTATGCAGGACACAAGAATTGGGTTCTTTGTGTCGCGTGGTCATCAGATGGAAAGCATCTCGTGAGTGGTAGCAAGCTGGAGGACTACAATGTTGGGACCCAGAGACAGGGAAGTCATCAGGCTATCCACTGATTGTAAAGTCTTTATCCTAAAGTAACTATGTTATTGATATTTTATTGTCTGTTGTCTTGCTCTTGGGGCATGTTAAAAGCAGTAGAGTATTTTTGTCCTGGTTTTAGTTGGTTGTTTTTTGCCAATTTAACCATTGAAATTAATATTTTGAATCTACTTTAGGGCCACGAAAAAGGATTACTGTTTATCTTGGGAACCAGTCCATCTGAATGCTCCATACTGTCGCTTTGCAAGTGCTAGCAAAGATGGTGACAGTCGCACATGGGACATTTCTTTGAGGAGATGTGTTATTTGTATTAGTGACCACACACAAGCAGTAACTCACGTGGAATGGGGCTGATAAAAAAAACTTGTGTGAAATGGGTGGGGAGGGAATGATATATACAGGGTATGCATTTAATTTAAATTAGTTTTGCAATTATTTTCATAATTCTACACTTAATCGTGCATTTGATTCTATGGAGTTTCTGCTGTCTAAATTTTACCTGTTTATTGCTTACGTCTTCTGGTAAACTGGCCGCAGCTCTCAGGAAGTACCATTGAAGTCTGGGAAACTACTCAAGGGAAGCTAATTTGTGAATTGAAGGTAACCTCTTACATCCTTTAGAGTTTCTGCAAGTGTAATTATCTTTCGTTTGTGATGCACTTTTGCATAATATTTCATATATACTGGTCCAGATTTCATTGTTTTATCCACATATGCTTCTTTAGTTGCTGCTGGTATTGTATGTATTCTCTTACATGTTTTAAGATCTTCCTGGTGGTGCACAGACAATTTGCCATGCCTGTTTCTAGTTTCATCTTAGGTAGTAGAAACTTTCTGTAATTCAAAAGAATGCTTTCTTTAAGATGTCTAGCTTGTAATGGCAAACTTATTATATCTGCTACTTGTTCCAGGGTCATGGGCGTTGGGTCAATTCCATTGCATTGAGCACTACTGAATATGTTCTTCAAACTGGAGCTTTTGATCATACTGGGAGACAATATTCTTCTCCAGAGGAAATGCAAAAGGTAGCTTGCTGTTGGGTTTAATTATTGCATTAGTTATACTTATCTCAGTGCAATTACTCTTATAATTATCAGCTGCAAAAGAACATGTACAGATCAGATTATTTGAGCAACTTATTCTAACTTATGTTTCTACCATGATTGCTGCTGTTGAATATCACAGAATGATGTGAAAAATGTCCATTGCCCATGTATCTGGATTTACTTTCCCTGTGATTTTATCCAAACTGTATTTCAAGCACTAGTCACGTTCTTTTAACTGGGTTTCCATTGATCTCTTACTCAGGATTGCTACAAAATGTTCAGGTTTCAGCTTCATATGAGCTACTGTTACATACTTGACTACTGTCCACTAGCCTTTCTGCAAAATAGATCTTTTTGTTATGTTCTTTTCAAGATCCTTGCTGAGAGTTCAGAGGCCTCCTACTTTCCTCTGCAAAAGTGATTATCTTTTCTTGCAGTTATTGTATGCAGGTTGCTCTAGAAAAGGACAACAAAATGAAAGGCAATTCCCCTGAAAGATTGGTTTCAGGATCTGATGATTTTACCATGTTTCTATGGAAGCGTGCTGATGACAACAATCCCAAACTCATGACAGGTCATCAACAGGTAAAAATTATATGATTGTGACTTTTTCGTCTGATTGTAATCTCCTCCGTCCCCTTTTTTTGATTTTAGGTTGCAGACAGAAAGTGATTTTCTCCTATCCATTTACCCACCCAACTCACCATGACTGAGGATCTATTAACTGGGCCACTTAGGTCACTGGTAATTACAATTCATGTTGTTAACCATCATTTTATTTCTTTCTTTCTTTCTTTTTACTGTAACTTTGCTTCGAGTTTGTTCCTCACAAGTGCAAGAATGTTTCCAGAGTCTATATTACATGCAGGCTATAGCAAACATTCTTGGTTGAACTTGGAGTTTCAGCATTGTATGCTGCAGCTGTTTTCTTTGGGATAGAACCATAAGCTATATAAGTTTTTTGGGTTCTTGCAGCTTGTAAACCATGTTTGTTTCTCACCTGATGGACAATGGATCGCTAGTGCCTCTTTTGATAAATCAGTCAAATTATCTAATGGTACTGCTGGGGAATCTATTACTACATTTCATGGTCATGTTGGGCCTGTTTATCAAATGAGGTGTGAGCTGTTTCCAAGTTTTCCATGTCTCCTTTCAACTACTATGTTACTAACATTTATCTTTCATGTTTCCATCCAGCTGGTCTGCAGACGGTAGGCTTCTTCTAAGTGGGAGCAAAGACTCCTCCTTGAAGGTATCTCCAACAAACTATTGAATTTTCCTTGTGATACCAGATCTTACTGAGCAATAGTTGAGACTGTCCATTTCTCACTAGGCTTTTAGAAACATACTTTTACTGAAGCAATACAAAAGAAGCAGAACTGATTGTTCAATTTTCTAGGTATGGGATATACGAACATGAAAATTAAAACAAGACCTTCCAGGCCATGCAGATGAGGTATGTTTTCCTTCCTGTTAGATTAACAGGTGATCTTTACATAGATGCTGCTATCTAATTGTTGTGTTCTGGTACCAAAGGTGTATGCTGTTGATTGGAGTCTAGATGGTGAGAAGGTTGCATCTGGTGGTAAGGATAGAGTATGGAAGTTATGGATGGGCTAAAAAATAACTTGAAGAGACAAAGGTGAAAATGACATTGAAGTTATAGAATGATGAACGCAGTGGCTTCCATCACCAACCAAATATCTGATTTTGATTTCATTAAGCGAAGTATATTTTAAGTGCATGTGGAATAAGAAAAGAAATGGGTTGAGATTGGAGGGAAGGTCCTGATTGCCAATATTGCTTAGGGATGGCATTGTAGAGCCATGCAAGGTTTTTATCATAGGAACAAAGATTTAGAAAATATTCCTTCTCACAGGTTGGGATAGATTGAATGGAATGATGTCAATTTTTTTTCCTGTAAAATTTTTTTTGCCCCATAGGAACTATTGAAATCTGTATATAATAAAAAAAAAATTATTCTACATATTTTATAATTATATTATTAATTAATTTTTACCCATCCAACTCGATTGGCTACCCCAACTTAGCTTAAATTGCCCAATTCAATTCCTTTTTCAATTTTCCCCAAACCCAATTCTATAAATCAATTACCATCTATATAGCAATATGCATTTACTGAAACTAGACATTGCTAGGTAGTTAGTATAATATATTTGCCTGTTTGAATTGTTTCAATTTTTCATTTTATTTTATTTATTAAAAAATTAAATTAAATTTTACATATTTAATATTTGACGAGAATCCTTGTGGATATGGAGATAGAGGATATTTTTTAACCCCTACAAAAAAATCTTACAAAAAATTATGTACCTACCATTGGTGGAGATGGGGATGGAGAAAAGGTGATCGTTTCTTGGAAACTTGTTGCTATCCCTAATATTACTACCTTATAGTTGTTGATTATTATTATTATTATTATTTGTCATAATTTTTATTAGTCATTAATCTTGTTTTTCCACAAAATTTTATTGAAGAAAAAATATATATGTTATTGCCCACGAATATTGCAAAAGAAATATAAATAACTTCTTCCCACATTAGACATTTATTTCTTAACTTAGGCTTGGAAGAAGGAAGATACCATGTGAAAAGGGGAAAATAAAAAAAGGTTGACCTATGGATTTGAGCCATCTTCTCCACCCTTTCTTTTTTTTAATAAGGGAAACATTAGTTAAGTATTAGTATCTATTTATAGGTCAGTATTGAAGTCGAAATCAAGTGAGCTCTACCTGCTACTCTTTAGAGTAACATGACCAATTTACTAGGCCACGTGGGGGAGTTTTGGCTTGAATCTTCTCCCTCAAACAAAACATAGGAATAGGTTAAGGTTAGCTTTTGTTAATTCATGACTCATTTTGACTCGATATGCATTAATCTGTGAACCATGTTGATCTAATTCAGCCCTGGTGTTCCTTATTCATTTGCCAATTCTAGTCTTATTGTTGTGCAGCAATAATTAAGGCTCTCTTTATTATTATTATTATGATTATGGTTTTTGGTTTTTCATTTCGGTCATCAAAATTTAAATAATTAAAACTTATAATTAAAAATCAATATTAAAAGTTAAAATTACCAACTTATTGGTATTTTTAAAATTAATATCCAAAATTTCATATTTTATTTTAAAATTTTTAAACGTTTAAATACCAAAATAAAAAGTCTTCAAGATTCTGAATCAACGGAGCCTAACTTACTGCACCTGGTTGTTGTAACCAAGGGAAACTGTTGGGGCGGAATGGTATTTCCCACAAAAAGATGACTGATCAGTAGTTTTGGACAAAACTGAAGGATTTATTTGCAATTTACCCTAACAAAAACTGATTACCACGTGCAACACTCTAAACCACAACCAAAACATACGAAGGGGAGATCGTCTTCCTTCCTCGTTCGCTAGGGTTTGCGAAGTCGAAACTCAGAAATCCGCCCGAACTCAGGTATGTCAATCTCCGCCACCCACTCATCTTCTCCAACTTATCTCTTTGAGTCTCCATCCAAACATTGTCTTTTTGATCAAAACGCATCGAAATGTTGTAAATTTCTAAGATCGGCTATGAATCGGCTCGAAGGGATCGCCGATCTCTTGGCCGTAATCGAAATGTTTCAAAGAGATACTGCCTTTGTTTTGAATTTGATGCATTTTGGTCGTATCAGTAAGTGTTAGCATCCGAAACGATTACGATAAGATGCTTCTTGGGGTTTAGATCTATGGTCGCGTTTTTTAGAAATTTGCAATCTTTATTCTTTACTTGATCATTAGCTGGTTCTCATTTTTCTGAGCGAGTAAATGAATGCCGCTCTAATCCTGTTAATTTTTACTTCTTGAGCTGTTGAAATAAGAATAGATTCTTCTCTTTATAATTCTCTTATGTTTTGATTACCTTGTTTGTAAAAGATGGTTTGGATGGGGTTTATGGAGGGGTTATGCGAAAGGGCACGCCTCCTTTGATTCAAGGAGGGATTTTGAGGTTGAAAAAACTGATAATGAACAGCTGTTGAAATTTTAAATTGTGAAATGATATTATTTTGGTGCAGTGTAGGAATCAGAAGCGTTATTCTGGATGCTCTGATTGTATTCTAAATTGATTGTGATGTGTTTTCTATTCTGTAAGAGAGAACATAGCCCCTGGTTACAAAATCATTCTTCTGTGTCGGGACAGTAGCATTTCTGTGTTTTATAATTGGGAAATGCTGCTTTGCACCAGTTAGTATTTCATTCAGGCAATCATTTAGAGATTTGAGTTATAGCTTTTATGTTGTTTGGCCTGCCTTTCTTGTTGTTCATTTTGGATAGAAGTTTGAATTTTGAAAGGTTTCTCCTCATTGTCAATATGAAGATTGCCATTGTTGCAATTACTGGGTTAAAATGCCCGTTGCTTGGATCTGAGTATTGCAAATTTGTTGAGAAGCTACAACCCCTAAATGATGTTGTTTCCACTTCTGTAGCATAGACTATTGCTATGTAGGTCTTTTTTGAAAGGTTCTAATTGTACATCCTTTATTGGCAATAGGTTATTGACATAGTTGTTGCAGTTTGAAATGGGAAGAGCAAAGTACATCATCCCAGCTATTTTGGGATCATTTGCCATTTCATATGTGGCAGACCAGCTTGTTGCTGACAAGAAGATTTTCGGAGGCAAGTTGCGACTTTAATTTTGAAGCTTTTTATATGGGTTTTGCAGGGGTTTAACACATTACATTCTTTCTCCTTTTTCCTCTTCTTTCTCTTCAACTTTTAATTACTCAGGTACTACACCTAAAACTGTTTCAAGCCAGGAATGGTGGGAGGAGACTGACAAGAAATTTCAGGCTTGGCCTCGTACTGCTGGTCCACCAGTTGTCATGAATCCCATTACCCGCCAGAATTTCATAGTCAAGTCAAAAACTGATGCTTGAAGACATAATTTTCACTTGTGATTTGTCAATGGCTTTGATTGTTGTTCTAAGCACATAACTTTTTGTTGCCAAACATTGTTTAGTCTGCTTTGCATGTAGAGAGAGCCATTCTCGATTCAGGGAATGGTCCTTATGTCCTCTTTATTTTGAACATATGATGCACAGGATTGTTTGAGGATGGTGTTAATCTTATAAGGTCTGAATAAATATCCATCTAGCAATACCAAAGTGGTTATTCAATGACCCTTCTGATTATTTTTTTAATACATGCTTTAATTTTTTTGCTGCATCGTATGTTAGTTGCTTAGCATATAAGAGGTTCGAATTCCTAACGTTAGACCTACTTAATTAATGTTCTTATAGTTGGTGAATATTAACCTGTTTAATGCTACACCATTGTGAAGAGATTTAGGATTCACTTTTATGAATGCTTGAGATTAGTGATACGATATATGTTCCTTTTTCTTTAAATTGATGGAGGTAACATCAAAATATAAATAATGGAGGAATATGATCACACCTGATTCATCACTATTCCGCAGAAAATGGTGTGAGAGATGGCAGGGTTCCTGATGCTTATTTCGAGTCGTTTCCAGCAGGTTTTGTTTCAAACCTACCGATGTAGGGTTGATACGGCTTTGCCTCAACAAGAAGCTCTCAAATCAACAGTTAACCCCAAACTGGTTTCAAACTGAGATGAACGTAATTCAACCAATTCAATTTTCAGCAACCCCTTGTACTCAGCTCCTACTTCGAAGCTTAGCTCCATAGCCACCTGCTAATGAACTTTATCATCTCATCACTAATAATGAAGCCATGTTAAATAGTTCCGTACAGATGAGTTCTATAAGTTATAAGTTCAGAATTCATAGTTCAGAAAACCTTTGTAAGTTTCGACAGCTTTTTATTTCGTAAGGAGTCAACTATAATATTTTTGGAGTTCAGAGTCTCATTTTCTTAATTTGTAGCTCCTGCACATATTTTTGTACATTTGTTTTCATTCTAAGGTCTGCTTTGTTATTGTTGATTCAAGGGGAACTCTGAACTGCATAAAAGTACACAGTTTCAGCATAGAAACTTGGCAAGAATTCAATAGGAAAGATCTTAAAGATAGGGAACTGGATTTGATTCAGAAGTATAGAAGTCTACATTGGAGAAAGACAGTTGTGTCTGACAACATATGTGACAGAAATTTGAAAATGAAAAAAGACAACTTTGAATATTACAGTTGCAGACATAATAAGCGATGCAACAGAACTCAGGATAAATCCTTACTAATTGGGGGGGTCCTCCATGAACCATCCACCGTGAAGTCTGCTTTTAACATGAATAGAGCTTCCCCACTCATAATTGCTTCCAATGAAAAACAAGCAGAATCCAAGAAGAGATGGCTGACTCCTCACAAGTTGAAAAATGTAAAATCAAGTCTCCATTCACCAGAGCCTTGCCGAATGGTTTGGATTGCAAAGAATTCAAATAATCACCATCCATCAGTTTTGCTTTATTTCTTGAAGCATTTCCACTACCTTCTTCATTTTGGGTCTTTTGGCAGGTGTGCTGTCGGTACAGAGTAATGCTACCTTCAGAGCTGCAAGCATCTCTCTCCTCCAAGCAAAGGAGACTGTGCTTAGCCTTGCATCAAGTATCTGCTCTGGGGTTTCTGCTCTAGCTGGAGCACCATGAACCCACTTCACCAAATCAACTCCCTCTCCAAATTCCTCTTCAACTGGTAGTCGGGTTGTAAGAATCTCAAGCAAAACAACCCCATAGCTATATACATTTCCTGGTACAGTTACTTGCATTGTATATGCATATTCTGAATAGAAGTAAACAGAAGAAATATATAAAAAAGAGGACGAAAAGAGAACAACAATGCAGCTCTTGGTGCAATAATGATGCATAAAACCAAATGGGAAAAACTCAAACCATACTGTGCGAGGTAAAATACCTGGGGCAATATAGCCAAATGAACCAGCAACAGCACTGATACTTGCAGTACCTCTAGATGGATCTAAGAGCTTTGATATTTCTATCTCTCCAACCAAAGGGTTGAAGTCAGCATCTAAAAGCACATTACTAGAGGAGATGTCAAGGTGAATAATGGCCACATGATGAAGGAAGGCCAGCCCCTCTGCCACTCCAATAGCAATGGATAGTCTTCTAGGCCAGTCAGGCTTGTATTCAGGCTGCTTTGTAGACTCATGAAGAAGCTGAGCTAGAGTGCCATTGGGCAAATAATGATGCAGCAAAAGAGCAATGTCGTCATAGATAACATACCCAATTGGTTGTATAAGATTGTCATGACAAACCTTGCTCAGTCTCTCGAGCTCTCTAATCATCTTGTTCTGGTGATGGATTATAGTTTTGTCCATGGATTTCAGTCTCTTCACTGATAGAATCAACCCTGATGGCATGACAGCCTTGTAAACTGTGCTGAAAGTCCCACTGTTGATCATATTTGAATCCTTCAAAGTGGATTTAACAACAGCATCAAGATCTATAGCCTGTCGGAGATTCTCAACAAAGACAGTCCCTGCTATTATTGTTGGCTGGTTCTTGGTTTCATCTTCTTCAACTCCAGCACTTTTTGCTGCCTTTTCTTGACTCTCCCTCATCATAAAAAGCAGAACAACTATGGTAACTGATACAAAAACTGCCAGGCCTGAGCCAATAACTGTTAATATTGTCTTGTAGGAAACCCTACGGTGGTAGTTTGCCTGCTCAGAATCCTTAGAGCCTGAACATAGAGAGCTCAGTGGCTCGCCACAGAGCCTCTTATTACCAAGAAAGCTAGAATTTGAACTCTTCTGGAATGGCACAAAAGTAGGTATTGGGCCACTGAGCAGATTATTTGAGAAATTAATCTCTATCAAGCTTAACATGCCCTTCAGTGCAGGTGGAATATTACCGGTTAGCTGGTTATTGGATACATCCAGAGAAACCAGCTTGTCGAGTTTACCCAGCTCTGGAGGCAGTTGGCCATGGAGATGATTGGAGCTCAAATTCAAGGCTATCTGTAGGTTGTGGATATGACCAATTTCAGGAGGGATACTTCCAGTCAAGTAGTTGCTGCCTAATTGCAGTTCTAGCAGTTTCACACAATTTCCAATCTCATGAGGTATTTCCCCTTTTATTGAATTCTGACCCAACAGCAAAAACTGCAATCTTGACATGTTGCAGATTTCATTTGGTATGGAGCCATTGAATCTGTTATTGCTTAAATCAAGCTTGTTAAGGCTCTTGCATGCAAGAATTGAGCTCGGAATATCTCCATACAGACTGTTCCCAGATAGAATCAATTCTTGAAGATTCATTAGCTGTCCAAGCTCCCAAGGAACCACACCAGTAAACCCATTAAAGGCTAAATTTAGAAGGCTAAGATTAGAACATTGAGAAAACTCAGGGACAATCTCACCAGAGAGATTGTTATTATCTGCTTCAAAGTAGGTGAGACTACTAACGTTTCCAATTGCCTTGGGAATAGCTCCAACAAGTTTGTTATTCCCAATTCGTACGCTAGAAAGACCCATGCAGTTTCCAATTACATCCGGAATATCACCAGTCAATCCATTCTGAGTCAGAACCAAAGTTTCCAGCTTTCCCATGGCAAAAATGCTCTCTGGTATGGTCCCCTCAAGCTGGTTAGAATGAAGGTTTAGCAATTGAAGTTCAGAAACTAAACCTAAACCATCGGGGATCTTACCACTTAGTTGATTCTCATACGCCGTGAATACTCTCAAATTGGTCAACTTCCCCACCCAATCTGGAATAGAACCAGCTAACTTATTGCTAGAAATTTGAAAGTCCTGCAACTTCTCTAGCCCCTTAAGTTCATCAGCTATCTTTCCTACGAGCATGTTGCTTGACAAGTTCAATGATTTAAGGTTTATAAGACTACCCAGTTGAGCTGGAATAGAATCTCCAAACTTATTGTATGACAAATCAAGAAACTCAAGCTCAGACAAGTCACCAAAAGCTGAAGGAATCGGTCCACTGAAGGCATTAAAAGAGAGGTCAAGCCGTTTCAGTGCATTAAGCTTAGAGATCAGAGTGACATTACCTCGAAGCATAAGCCCAGGAAGTTCAAGTCCTTCAACAAAGGAATGATTTAAGCCACAACTAATGCCTTTCCAATTGCAGTAGTCGGTGTTGTTGTCCCCCCAACCTTGTACACCACCAAGGTGACTGTTAATGGCTAACAATGTAGCTTGATCATCAAGCTGACCATCCACAAGCACAGACTTGGACAAAAACCCAACTAGCAAAAATGAAAAGCAGAAGAATGCCATTAATGGGTTTTAATTTTCTGCAGAGATAAACCCTTCTTGAATTCAAGAAATCAGTTTTCTTCTTCAGACACCAAAGCAGCAATCAACCCTGGTCACCTCAATCGTAACACTTTCTGATTAGAACCCTGTTTTACCTTCAACATTCCCACATTTTCTCATCTATTTCTGGAGAGAAAAAGGTCTCTAAATCTTGGAATCTAAGGGGATTTACACCATTCCAAGAAGAAAACACAGATTGAAACCCCAAACCCAAGTTGAGATTCTTAAGGCACCAAGTACTGGAGAGCAAACCAATCCCAGAAATTTAAGGGGGTAAAAGGAAAGAACGTTGATAGGAAAAAGGAAAACACAAACCCAAATGAATCAAAGGAAGGAAAGTTAGAATCGAAACAAGAAGAAACAAACAAAAGAATCAGCATTATAGATCATGGGTTGTAGGTGAAAACGAAGTCTTGGCCATGTTTATACCATGGGAATGGAAAATGGCTGCTGCAGAACCAAACAAGGAAAATGACTCCGGAGGCAAGATGTCTGTGAACAAAGGACTGTGAGGAGCAAACATTACACGGTACTATGTTTGGGAACAGGTGTCTTGGAGAGATTTACGGGTCTGAAAACAGTAAAAGGAATGGTTTCCCTCTCGTAAAGCTTTTCACGGGAAAGGGCTGTGAGGAGTGAATGAAGACTGCATTCAGTATTCTCTCTCTCTACGTATGGAAGGTGGTTTGGGTACACTTGTTTTGGAAAATACGACACAAAAGTTATAAACTTTGTAATAAAATTTAGTTAGAATTTTATTGAATTATTAGTAATATAAAAAATTGGTAAGTTTTATAATAAAATTTTATTAAATTTTTTTATGTAATTAATAATTTTTTTATTTAATAAAAAATTAATAAAATTTTATGTTAAGTTCTTAAATTTATTTTAAAATTTTGATTAAGCCTCTTAACTTTTATTAAAATAAATAAGTCCTTGAAATTGACAATTGAAGCAATTTAACATCTTTTTCTTCTCTTTTCTTTTCTTTTCTTTTCTTTATGATGGATCTAATATATGCTTGTCTCTCGTATGGGCGAAATATTAATATGTCATTATTTATATGAGCGAAATATTAATATGTCATTACTTATATAATGGATATTGACCTTATTCACGTGAACAAAACACAAGCATGTGTTAAATTTATCATAAGAAAAAGATTTAAATTTTCCACGTCACCAAGTTTGGGAGCTTGCTTTAAAAAAAATTAAAGGCTTAATAGAAACTTTAAAATAAATTTAATAGTTTAATATAAAATTTTACCCAAAAATATTTGTTTAGTGGATCTTAGAGTTTGGGAAAATTTTCTCTCATCAAAAAGTAAGATAAAAATTTATTAATGGAGAATTGTACAAAAAAATAAAATAATGCAGAGAAGGACGCAATGTTTCATGGGATTTGTTCGATCATCTAAGGAAATTTATTTAAGAATTAAAGGTAAATTACTACTCATAACTATAAAATAATTAAAATTTAAAAA